ATTTCCACACACACACACACTCACTCTCTCTCTCTCTCTCTCTCTCTCTCTGTCTCTATTTATCGGTTCGGCTTCTGGGGTGGGTTTTGGAGGGGGGGGGTAGCATCTTTATGTATACCTGCCTATCCATCTTGAGGAATATCGGCAATACTCCAAGTATACCTTTGTGGGAGCACTTGTACGAACAATCAAGATATAAATGGGTCCGTTCATGACTAAAGCCAGATTTGCATACATGCTGCATATGTATTACAGTATGAAAATATAAAGACATGGGTACATATGCCATACATATATACATACAAATACCTAGTTAGAAACAACAAAAAGCGATCAGCGCCTTCATGAATGTGGACTAGCCTAGCAGAAACTACTTACTTGCATTGCTTTTGCTCAAAGTTGGAAATTGCAGCGAAGACAGAATTAACAAGAAGTTGCAACTTGCTCGTGAATCGCACGAGACAGGAAGACTACATACAGATTCCTTGTGCGGGAGCAATGCTGCGCTGCAAACCAGCAGCACAACCGCGGAGTAGCAGGTTCCCGACCAACACCGAAAAAAGCAAAAACACACCCAAAACCAACATTCAGCCCTATCGTGTACATGGGTCTGCTTTTGCTTCCGTTGTTTGTTGGGTTGTTTGTTTTGCGGTTTTAGTTTGTTTAGCTTTTGGTGCTGTTTTAGAAAATCAAGTTCGGTTACTTGGTTAGACCGAAGAGCCGCGTTGGTTTGCAATTTGCACTCTCCTTGCAGACCACGCAATATTTTCTTCTTCTTCCCCAATTATAGTTAGATATCTATAACTACGAAGGACATGTGGGTCAATGAGGGGGTTACCATACACGTATATTATATGTACATGTAATCATATTTTAAAAACATATGGATTTACTTCAAACAGTCTACCATGAATGAACCTACAGTTGTAGCTAGTGGCAGCGAGTGAGTCTAGTGCTCCTTTAGGACACCAGGTTTTGAGAGTTCGCCTGCGCTTGCAGACCTGCTTCGTTCCACGGGTGCCGCCATCCGCCAGCTGCGCGCAGGCCAGCCAAAAGGAAGGCATCAAACAAGGAAAGCCAACAAAGATCCCAAAGTCCTACAGCGGAGCGATTCGATTTTGAGTGCGTTTTCGTTCGCGGCGGCCAGGCCTTGGTGCTGTCACTACGAGGTCGCCTTCGGAGTCCAGCTCGGAGTCCGAGAGGGTGGCCCGGCCCCAACGGCAACCGCCGCTCCTTCGAATTTATTCGACTTTGGGACAGGCCTCGGACTCTTCTCCAAAGGCTGTGCTCCGTGTCAGTGTGCCGTGTTCAGTGAAGCTGCCTCATCCCCTGTAGTGAACTTTAGTGCGGGCTGCGAGTAGAGAATATAGTTTCCTGTTCATCCATTTGGTGTCACGCCAGGCGCAACAGCAGGCAATTGAAATCCGCATCATTGAGGCAGCGAGTGATGCTTATTCCGCCGAGCAACTGCCCGTGGAAACCCGCCCCTGCGCAGGCTGGGTGATGGCCTCCACGTCATTTCAGCTCGAAGCTCGCTTAGTGAACCGCTGCATCGCCGACGTGGCTCCAGGCTCACGGTCCCGAGTCTCGTACTCTCGTACCCTGTGCCTGTCTTCTGGAGAGGCACCAGGAGCTCGTCGCTGGCAGCAGGTCGTTCCACAGCCATTTGCCAGCCAAAGTTGCTGTTGTGGCAAAGCTGCCGAGCTGCTTTCAAAACATGCGCGGTGGGGTCTGCTTTAGCGTGTGTTTGTCTGATGTGTTCTAGCGAAGCCGGCTGAAGCCTTCGCATGCAGGAGCAGGAGGTGACACGGAGGAGACCGATATCATCAGAGAGCTCTATGAGGAAATTCAGGACTTGCAGCCGGCCCCGAGCACTGCTCGCTGGGCTCTTCTCGCTTTAAATTCATGCTGTCCTTCTGATCAAGCCTGGAATTTGCTTCCGCCGACATTCACAGCCGAGCCATCGTCAGCCGTGCGACTGAGAAATTAGGGTTCCGCCATGGAGCTTCGAGTCGCGACGAGGGCCTGGGGAGGTTGATGCAAGCTGCAGCGGCAAGGGCGAAGGTGCAAGAGGCCACCTGCTGTGCGTGAGCACTCCGCTACAATCTCGAGCACGCAGTGTCATAAGTAGGGCCCTGCTTGAGTCTGTTGAACGATTCTTCAGCGTTGCAGGTCCTGCAAGGCGTCGATACCAGTGGTTTCCGCCACGATCATTGGGCCCAGGCGGGAAGTAGAACAGTTCGAGTTGAGTACTGTAGGTTCAGTTCAGCACAGATATCGCAACACTGTCAGGTGTTGCAGGAGCTGGGTGGACGACCCGAGGAGGTGGCCACTCTTTTGCCCACGAATCCCGATCTGGACATCCATGGCTTCCTGGACGCTGTCTTCACCACCAGCGGCAGCAGCAGCAGCAGTGCGAGTACGCTTCCAAGCGACATGCTCCATAGGCCATAGGCTCCAACCAAACACGACTGAAGCTGACATGATCTCAAGGTCCCGGGATAACCAAGCCAGCAGCGTCCACAGAGTCTGCACCGGACCCCTGTGCGCTTCGCATCCTGCAGATCACTGAAGCTTGTACTACAACGAAGTCTAGCAGCGGATTTCGGAGATCATAAACACAGATGTCCGGGCACCACAATGAGCAGCCTACCCAGAGCTAGCAGCTAGCGAGAGCAGTGTGCATCTTTTCGGCCAGTTGCGCATCAAGGGTGGGATTCGGGCAGCGTCAATCATAACGAAGCCCCGTCCAAGCCACCGTGACTTGACATGCATCCATGCGCTCCACTCCACGAGCTACAAGGATGTCTATGTGCTCGAGAACTTCCCGAGCATGAAGACTCTCATTGCCGAGAAGGCAGGTATAGTAACAGTGGAACCGGCGGTTGCTTGTTGACTGCGACAGGAAGCGGAGCTCAAAGCGGAGTACGGAGGCAAAGTGTGCTACAATCTACAAGCAAGCCACATCTGAAGCCTGCTGAAGCCAAGTGTAAAGGAGCATCGCGCTGTGTTTCCGTACTGACCGGCGATCTTTGGCAGCACACAGGGCAGCGTCCTTTTGACTGGCTATGTTTTTTGGAACAAATCAGCTCCCAGTGAAGGACTTTCTGGCCCCTTACCTGCTGTCGAGCATTGACCGCGGCTCTGGGATGGTCCGGATGCTGAATGAAACTCCCATCCAGTGCGCCCTACCCCACCACGAGAACTCGGCTCAGCATCGGCCGCGACGCCTCGACTATCGGCCTTTTGGTGCCTTGCGGCGGCAGCGCCGTTCGACAGGTACGTGACCTGGGGGAACCACGAGGCCGATCTCTCCCACGAGGACGTCATGTGCCGTGTGGAGGAGTACAAAGGCGCAGCACAGCTGCAATTAGCATCCTGCAGGCCATCCAAAGTGTGGAGCTTTTCGGCGGGCATAGCTCTGAATGCAGTGTCAAGGTGTGGATCAACAGCAACATGCAGTCTCACGAGCCTCTCGGCAGCCAGCAAGTTGTGCAGAATGCAGATGCCCTTCCCCTGAGTGCGAATAAGGTCTTTCGACAAGTGCCACTGCCAGCAAGATGTGGAGGTTCTGGAGGTCCGAAGCCGCGGCGGGAAGAACTCGCGCCGGATTGGGCTCGTGGGGGTGCTCAGCGACGAGGCCACCCTGTACAAACCAGGCGCATTTGGTGGTGCCACCATCGAGGATCCCTGGAAGACGCAGCTCTGACCTGGATTTGAAAATAAATGGTTTTGGAAAGCTCTCCTCTGAACCAGACTCACACAGTTCTTTGCATCAGGGCACACGAAACGACTGGCTGCAAGGTTGGCCTTCTACAAGGAAAAGTTGGAGAAGGATCAGAAGTGCGACCTCGTGGTGCCGCTCTGCCATCTGTACGAGTCCCAAGATGAGATCACTTGCCACAACTTCGACTTCCCTGTGATCCTCTCTGGCCATGACCACCATGTGGTTGATCGAACGATCAGCGGCACACGGCCCTGGGCTCAGAAAAGCCGGCACAGACCGACGGAGCTCTTCCGCAGAACTCTGAGGCTCCTGAAGCCGGGCTCTGATGCTCGCTTTTGCGTACAGCTCGACCTCGTTTGGGACCACCCTGGGCCCGACGCACCCTTGCGCCTCTCGGCGCAGCTGCTGGACCTCAAAGACTTCACGCCCAACGCCTCCTTGGCCGACGCCCCATGGGACGTAAAGCGAATCAGAAAGCCACAAATCAGAGATGTCTCGAAGCTTTGTCCTCAACAAACTCTCCCGCGATGGCCCTGCAGCCTGGGATGCTTGACTTGCCCCCTCTCTGTTTCTGCAGATAAGGCCGCCTCCGTCCAAGAGGTCTACTCCACGCCCGGGTCCCGTTTTATTGACGTGCAGTCCCTCCGTCGCTACTCGTTTCTTCTCTCTCTCTCTCTCTCTTTCTGTTTTTGTCTTTGTGCCTCTTCCTCTTCGCAGCTCAGGCTGGACCACCTCCGCTGCACGCAGATAGTCAAGGCAGAGCCGGTCGCGGCTTTCGCTTGGTGCACAATGCTCCTCAGCACTGAGGTGCCAGCAGCCTATCGTCCCTTGAGTTCTGTGAACTCGCGTGGGTCCTGTACGACGACGCCTCAGAGTCACGTTCAAGCCTGGTCGCGTTGTAGACAAAAGTGCCATTGTTGCGGAGCCATGCAAGCTGCTGTCGCATATCCAGGACAAACGCGCGCTTCCTTTGCAGTGAGTCGGGCAGCCAGGGCTGCACTTTGGGAATGGCAGTGCTTGACTTGGTTTGTGGCAGGATTCGGAATGCCTTGAACCTGGACTGCTTGGAGGCAGGCATGGGGGGGGGTCCTGTCACTGGCGTCTTGTGAGGTGTTTTTGCGACATAGTCATAATCCGAAGCCCACTGGCACTTCTAAAACGTGCAAGGCGCAAAGACAAGTACCGAAGCATCCCTGCCAGCTCTGCTCTTGGAAGGGAAGCCCCCATTGCGACTGCGTGCTTATCAACGGTGGTAACTTCCGTGGGGAGCGCGACTACAAGGAGACCGAGCACATGTCTCTGGAGGACTCGACAACATCGATGCCGTACTACTAACAAGTTATTGGTATCGTCATCGTCCCAATCGCGCTTGCATCATTTCATTCAAGAACATCGTCAGCATCATGATCACTATACCAGCATCACAGTCATTATCAACGACTGCCGCACAGCGCAAAGACCGCTGCTCGCAAGACATGCAAGGGCTTCAACTGTTCTCCAGGACTTAATGTCTGAGATGGACGAGTCTGTTGAGATTGTGGTGGCTCTTGTGCCGGGAAAGTTGATCCAGTCCGGTCTGCGGGAAACCTGGCAGAGTATCAGTGGGGCCTGGATGCAGCATGACGATCAGCTGGAGGTCTGACGAATCGTTACACCGACAAAGTACAGTCTTATCACACTTCTGACCTCCTGAGCATCGAAAGATCGGGCAGGTGGATGCGGACGGACAGGTGCAGAAGGTTGCAGGCAAAGCCCTGGACCCCGATGCCATGTACCGTGTTGGCACCAGCAGGCTCCAGTGGCAGGAAAGACTTGAACTGGAAAGAACTTGCGCTTTGGTGCCCTTTGCCCACAGGCGCTTCGGCATCCAGCTTATCAAAGGCATTGCTGCTTACTGGGCAGAGACCCCCGGTGCCAAGCCGCACCCGGAGTCCGGCATCCCCGTGCACCTGGGCCGAAGAAAGGGCTTTTGTTGGGTCTGCTTGGGCGTGAAGATCCAATTCAGGCACTCTCTGCTGCTACACTATTGGGCCGAGAAAGTCTGGGTGAGGATCTGGGCTTCTTCTCCGCAAAAAGGATTGGAGACTTAAGTTAAAGGGCCTCGCTGCGCGTGGGGAGATGCGATGCATGGCTCATGCCACTCCAATCGGAGGCCTTTCTTGACAAAGATCACAACGGCCGCATCGATCCAGAAGAGATCAAGGCCTTTTCTTGTTGCTGTTGACGACAGCGCTGACTAAGTAATTTTAGCCAATTGTATGCGTGTGCCTGCGTGTGTGGGTGGGCGCGTGAGGTCCAAGTAAGAACAGTTGCACGGCAGAGGGTCAGAGAGTGCCGGAGACATTGGTCTTCCTGTCTCCGAGCCTGCGAACATGTGCGAAACCAGGCTTTGGACAGGCCCCGGACTGAGCATGATCCGGACTCCTAAGTCGCTGACCTTGCTGGGTGTGCCTGCACCAGGACGGGCACGGGGCAACTGGACCATGTGGCGCGAGGCCAAGCAGGTTAGCGCATCGCGCCACGGCAACTATGTCAACCGCGGGAGTCGGATGCGGCCAAGGACATTATGAATGCCGTGAAAAACGTGGCGCACATGGAAACGTTCGAGGGCGAATATACTCTCACGGATTTGATAATGAAGGCACGGTGCTATGTCGGGAAGTCGTGCCGATATGAAGAGAGTTTTAATTTGCTGGTGCCACGAGCATGACTGTGCAGTTGGTATATGGGTGGTCATCTTCATAGCGCATAGGAAGCCTGGTCCAATATTCAAACATCAAGTCCTGTGAAGTCATGCTGTAGTACTTTCGGCTGCTCGACATGGATTTGCAGGTATGAGTTTTCTGTCCAAAAGCATTTTCAGGGCGAGCTGGGGCAGGCTTAGATGAGTCAGAGTCGCTCCGGAGGTGGCTGGCCATTGTGGCCAGGGCACCCTGACACTGGTCGAAATCAACAGCAGACGGCGTCATCGCCGCCAGCAGCTGCGTGGAATCAAGACTGCTGCAAGGGGTGCACAATGCACATGCTGCATCGTAGTCAGATGTTGTGTTTCCGATTCCAGTAGATTCTGCTTGCCCTGATTGGTGGGCTTGTGAGGAGACGCGAGGTCAGAGTGCCATCGGAGCTGCTGCCTGATGCACATGTTCAAGACCAGCAGCAGCAAGTCTAAGCAGCAGCGACTCAATGAAGAGACTGCAGCTGCTGAAATTGCTTCCATCTTACGGCTCAGGCATCAGCCGACTCTCAAAGTGTAGAGCTCTTCTTTTCGCCATCTCTGTACAAGCCTCGCATGACGGTGTTCAATCGGCTGTTCCTTGAGGAAATGTACAAACATAGGCCAATCCGCTCCTCTTGCCTTCAGCGAAGCTGCATGGCAGAGGTGCTGGTAGCTGCAGTGCTGCGAGTGCCGGTTCGCTCGAGTCCTTAAAGCCATTCAAAAAGCAGCGAGGAGCCTCCTCTCTGGAGACTTTGCCTCTGTCCGCACTGGGAGGACCGGGGGGCCCTGGCGGTCTTCCAGGAGATTTCGGACATGGACCAGCGATGCTACGCCGAGGCCAAGGCTCAAACCAGGCCAAGGCTGTTAGCTTCGGGAAGATGCCCCCAGGTTTCTCTCGAGGAGCTCTCAGCTTTCGTGTGCTGGCGACAGAAGCAGGCGCCGGCGCGCCGAGGGAGGAGTTCCCTTTTGCAGTTTGCAGTGCGTTTCCACCTTGCAGGATCTGCGGCAGAGACAGGGCGACTCTGACGATGAATGCGGTTGGCAACTGGAGGCTCCTTTCTGCGAAATTATCTTGCTGCTACAGGTTGCCAGACAATCTTGCAGGATGATTGGGACATGCTGGACGGAGGAGAGAAGATCGAGTCGCACCGGCTGATTGTTTTGTCCCGATGATTGTTCGGCTGCATTCTCGCTTCCTGCATTTGGTCCTCAAGCTGTCGTGAACTCGTGAACACCGCAGCCGAGCAATGGTCCATGCAGATCCATCTGCTATGGGCCGGCCTTCACTACTCGGATTCCAGGCCTCTGGGACATAGAGACTTGACTCGACTAAAGACTAACGGTCCCTAGCCCCAGCATTTGAATAACCTGTCCTGCGGGGGTTTCGTGCAATCCGTGGAGAGCATCATCTCGCACAACAGCTGGTCACACGGGTTCTACCCGAACACGGGTTCTGCCCTTTGATCTGGCATCATTGACCACCAGATGACCTGGGCTGGCCGGCAGCTAGCAGCCAAGTGCCCGAAACAAAACCGTGGCCACGCGTAGACCACTGGTCATCCATAGCTATGCTTGCTGCAACTCAGAATTGGTCTCTTGACAAAGTGGCTGCTAGAACGGCCTGCCATCCCTGCCAGGTGGGTGCCGGAGGACGGCGCGCGGTGAATGTTACAACGCGGCAGGACAGCCCACCTGAAATGTCAACGTCATGCAGGACCCTCGCAAGACGCTGGCCGCAGACCCGACGGGTCAGTGGCTGTGCGACGCCAAGACAGCAGCAATGGTTGTTTTCAACGTTCTCAAGCATGCAGACTCTGCAGGACCCTGCTTGAAGACGGTCCTGTGAAGTGTTCACCAGGCGCGTGCGGACGGGCTTTGCCCGGAGAGCTTTGATAAGTGATCGTACGTGGGAAGAGGAGGAGATCTGCCGCGGGTTCCCTTTGAGAGCCCGGGCCGGGTCTGTGCCCCGACAAAGAGGGTCGAAGCCGCGTGCCCCTCCTCCTCCGCTCCGCCTCGACGACCGAGGCCAGTGAGGAGAACGAACTCGACAGCGGCGACAGCAAAGAAGGGGTCCATCGCTGCATGAACGCTCCCCAAGCTGCGATGGGAGCTTCGGAAGCTCCCGAAGAGGAAGAAGAGATCAGGGATGAAGCTGAAGCTGACATGGCAACTGGCACCGAGCATGCGGCCCCTGGTGAAGCTCCAGTTGAAGAGGCCAATCCTGAAGACGGGGTGCATGAAGAGTGCATCGCCAGCCAAACATCGGCCAACAGAATCAAGCAGGCTGAGGACGACGACGGTCAGCAAGCTGATGATGAGCTCGGCAGAATCGCAGCCACCGCTGCTCACGAAGCTGGTCCGGTTTCGGATGAACAAGCCGCGCCTTGCTCCGAGTTCCACTCAGCTGATGCTGACGTCGCCACGGACATAACCGCGCCGGCCGAAGCCACCGGCGGCCAAGCAGCCCGATCCAACGCACAGGAGAATGCCGCTGTTCGTTTGGTGCGGACCCCTGAGCAGCGAGCAGAGTTGCAGAATGTTGCAGATGCATAGATGTGGAAGAAGCCCCAACCCAAGGCACGTCTCTTCCAGGCACCATCGGAGGCACCGGAGCAGGTGCCAGAAGGCGGGGAACCAGACGGGGAAGGTGTGGAAGCCGGCGCGCGCCGGGCCACCCGAGCTCGCAGAGCTCGCAGAGGCCCAGCGGCACGGCCTGGGCCCCGCCCCAGCTCGGGCCCAGCCTGCGGGCCCCGCAGAAGAGAGCTGACTAAGGAAATCGGACTCCGTCCAGCTGGCCATTGAAACTCGGCTGCGAGTGGTTTTCAACGCCTATCGCAGAGCATCGCAGAGACTGTGGGCCAGGCTGCGGGCGCAGACGAAGGCTTGGCTCGCGCAGCAGCGCAGAAGAGGCGGATGCAAGGGACTCTGAGGACATAGCAGGGGCGGATGAAACATCTGCAGGCGAGCGGCTGCATCTAACGATGAGGCGAGGGTCCGACCAGCAAAGGTAATGAAGCCTTTGCAAGATCTCACGTGCCAGGCCTCCGGACCAAAGCGAGGCACACCAGTCTCCACCAGCACGCAAAGACGGCCACCCAATTACCCCAACTGCCTCCAAAGGAAAGCTGCATGGCTCAAGAAGGGTAACAGGAAAAGCAGAGCCCATGGTAGGACAGAATTTCAACCCGTGAAAGCCGAAGCCATAAGAGCCATAAGTGCCCGCAGCAAGGCGAGCTTTCAATAAGGAATGCGAGGCTTCCTCGCACAGGCAGTCTGCAGCCATGTCGTCTCCCAAGCGCAAGAACGGCGCAGCGAAGCTGCTGAAGGCATGGGAAAATCTGGAAAGCCCGCACAGCAGAGTCGAGTTCCTGGAGTTCGCAAGGTGGACTTCTCCAAGGAGTTTGAGTCTCGGGGCATCCCGTCAGCTTCTCAGGCTTGATGCCATGTCGCAGGCAGCGAAGAGAGCAAGCTTCACAGTCGAGCTCGATCCGAGAACATCCAAGATTTACAGCACTGCGCTTTGTGAAGAGTTAACGAGCATTTGACAGCCAGGTGGTATGACGAAAAATCGGTGGCATGATCTGGAAGTTGGAAGATTGGGCAAGGAGTTGTTCTCTTCATCCTTTCAGCCTGGTATGGCTTGCTCAAGGATTAGTGTATTGTATGCGGGCGGTCTGCAGGCTCTAAACCCACAAAGTCGAGCTGGGGTGGAAGTGACGTGTGGGGGGGTTCTGCAGGCCTGGGACGTGCTTAGATTCAGGCCTGCAGACGGCGGTTTTCGGGGGGCAGCCTCCTAGCCCTTCGCGTCTTTGGTCTGGAACACACGGGCGCACGGGCATGGAGCGCCACTGCACGTAGTGTCGGGCCACCGTTACTGTGCTGAAGGCTCGAGGACAGCAGCGCAGAGAGGGACGCCAAAGCACGGGCCCTAAAGGGGCAAAAAGGAGAGAAGTGCGGCCTGGGCCCCCCTCCCCCCCGGGGCCTCTCAGGAGCTCCGGAAAGTCGCCTCCTTCTTTGGCATGGCCGTCAGCCTCAGACAAGGCCGGATGATGACCGAGCCCCACACACCGAGAGCCGAGGATGGGCATGCAGTCCACAGCCTCATGGCCCAGGCGGAGACGGCAACGGCACTGACGCTTCTGCTCGCTTCTGCACACTTCTGCAGGTCGAAGGGAGCGACGAGAACGGCGGCTCTGAGGAGGAAATGCTGGAGGAGCTCGAGGCGACTCCTGTCCTTGGAGGCATGGCAGGAGGACGAGGAGGCCGGGCCAGGAAGAAAGGGCTTAGGGCACTGCAAAGAAGGCTATTCAAAACAACTCCCGTCATACTACACGCAGGCGAGGACAGTGACGAGGACGAGGAGGTGGGACTCTGTGACCTCGCAAGGAGTTCTTGTGCTGGCCTGGCACTTCTCTTGAGGCAGCCGCCGCTGCAGCAGCGGCGGCTGCTGCACGGCAGAGGCCACGGGCCTCCGACCTTCTGCAGTGCGCACCAAAGGATTCGGTGGTCCAGGTGGCTGCACAGACCCGTGACCCCGAGAGAGCTTTTGAAGGCTGCGGGCAACGAGAGCCTCCGGACAAACTGCGTACTTAGTCCTTGTTGCAAGGCGAAGCAGCCACAGCCGATTAGTATCAACGACTTTCCCTCGATTTTCCAACGAGCTGGAGCCTTTACACGGCTGCGACGTGCTTGGTTGGAGCAGGCGAATCTTCCGACACACCCTGTTGCACACCGAGGATTCGCCCCGCTCACCACAGGCCCGAAAAGGCCCGGTTTCAGCTCGGCGAGTGCAAATGACATGCCCATGCAGGAGACTCACTATTCATACTTCAGCCGGCGCTTGCCTTCCGAGAATCCGGAGCCATGCCCCAAAACCAACAAGTTGAGCGCGCTCTTTTATAAGACTGCCGCAGTCTCAGGCATCGCAAAGCGATGGAGTGGCAGACGGAGACGACGTCTGCAGCTCACAACCTCGGTGTTTGCACTTCTTGGGATGCTCTCGACAATCACGGGAGGCGCAAGTGCATCAGAAATCGAAATCGGATGCGCAGATAACTGCCCCCGCCTCAATGCCACAGATTGCAGGTTGCCAAAAATGCTCTGAAAATTGGAGCCTAGACGAAGGTGATTCGAAGCTTTCACAGGCCAGACATGGGCTTTCGGTGGTCGTAAGATGAATGGCATGGGACCTGTCAGAAAATTCCCACTGTAGGCACCGCGTCCTGGCGAGGTGGCCGAATGGCCCTGTGAGCACGGACGTTGTCTGCGATCCGAGTGTCATGTAGGTCCATGTATATAGCTGCTATGTAGCTGTAGGCAGGATGGCCAAGGAGGCCCCGCCGCCCCGAGTGGCCAGGAGAAAAAGCTGAGCACTTTTCGAGCCATAAGGAAAAAGGGCCCCCGCCCCCCCCCAAGTGCTTTTTCGAACAATCTCTTGGAGGTCGCGCTGGCAAGGCCAAGGAGCAGAGCCACAGGAGGCCGAGGGGTGGGGGGGGCCCCGGGGAGCATCAGCTGCGCTCCCCTTCTTCCTCTCAGGCAGATGCGGGGGGGTTGGCGATGCTTTGTTTGCGACGGCGGGCCTTCAGGCGAAAGCCCAAAAGGGAGACTTGCAACCGGCAAGCAGTTCAATTGCGAGCAAGTTGAGCCGAGTTTGTTGTTTTCGAGCAGGAAAACTTGGTTGTCTTATCCGCTGCGATGGCTGTGACAAGGCTCGGAAAATCGAGCGAAAGCAAGATAGAAGATGTTGTGAACGCGCCCGGTACAGACCTTCCACATGAACTGCCACGATCCCCAAGTGACACGTCCGGGACTTCCCAACGAGAAGTGGCATGGCACTAAGAATCTCGAAGCCACTGCGTCGAAAAGGACTCCCCGAGAGTGCCGGCAGTGAGGTATTGCTCACACTGTACCGAAGCTCTTGCACAGCACCGTGCGCTGCGCCTTCGACCTGGTGACTTTGCATGGGCGCGCCTAAAGGACCGAGAATTGCACCTCAACAGGTGTTCCGTGTTCTGCGTGTCGCTCTCCCTCTCTCACGAGTCCTTCAGGCGACCTCGGTGCTCTGGCCCTGTGTCGTCCTGAAGCTTGACTTCACGAAGCCCGACGACCCCAGGCGCTAAGTACGATGTCCCTGCAGCCCTGCTTCATTTCGCCCGCCTTACAGGCCATATTGGGTGAACTTCTTCGAGGGTCGGAAAGGTGCAGCCCTCACTCCTCCACGAAAAATCAGCACACTGCCTTCCAACAGAGAGCTCCTGGCCTGTGATGTGCCGTCAGGTGCTGAGCAAAGAGGCGCTTGGGTGAGCGAAGAACAGGCGCAGGGAGTACGAAAAAGCTCTGCAAATCAAACGCCACGATAAAGCTGCCGTCAGGTGCTGCAGTGGAGCCATGGCACGCTAATTCCCGAAAGCGCTTCTCAAAGACAGGCGGCCCTGAGACAGGCGCAGGCCCTCCCGCTTTTGAGACGGAGAAAAAGGCTCGAACTTCAGTGCATCGCATCGTTGCAGAGGCTGCGGGAGCCGGCCCCTTCGGTACAGAGAGGTGCCGGAAATTCGGGGTGTTGTCCAGATATGAGCACCTGCCATTGAGCGGGTCTGTAAGGTGTTCCACACCTCAGACGCCCAGACGAAAGGTCGCGAAGGTCCCGGCTGTCTTGAGTTCAGGACCTGGGAGTGCAAGTTCTGGGCCTGAAGGTGAGCTCTCCGGCCAGTTGCGTTCTCAGGCAAGGTCCTTAGCATCGCTCTTCCGTTTCGCTGCCGACCGAGGCGGTGGAACCTCTACATCCAGCACCACGCTGCCTCGCTCCTCTCCCCATGGGACTCCCTCTTCGAGAAGGCCTTGCCTCCACGGAGTCATGAGGAGGACATGCAGCAAATAAGAGTATGGGGATTGATGAATGGTCGCAGGCCGAGTCAGCCAAACCTCATGCAGGAAGCGCAGAAGATTCAGGCCATTTCGCTGTGGCTCATTCCACCCTGCTGATTGACATTTACTCGCACGGATCTTGGGTGTAGCCTTGTGCAGCAGTAAGCAGGGGATGTTGCGAAGGTTGCACAACATTCACAGCTTCATGGGAGAGGGCGGGTTTAAAATGAGTCGAACGGGTTGCCGGGGAAGCCTTAGATGTTCATGGCGACGTCACCGCAGATTCAGCTCGATGCATCAGTTGAGTGCACATGCTGAGACATGCAGCCACGCAGGCTCAGGTCATGGTTTCTGTCCACCCGTTGGATCACTCTCCAGTGCAAGAACTCGCGCAGCTCTTTGCTGCGATTGGATCACTCTCTCGTCATTCACTCCTCCGAATTCTTCCCTGACTCACACCCCTTCCCCCTTCCTGGCTCACTTACGCATTCCACTCGCACAATCAGACCCTCCCTCCATCACTCGCCCGCGCCAGTCACTTAATCGCTCAAACTCTCGCTGAATGCACTTTCTCTACTGTAGTTTCTCCCTCCCTTCCTTCGTGACGCACAAGCACTTACTTTGCCTATGGCTTTTTTGAGCGCTTCTTCGGCCCGGCGACTCTCCACTTCCATTCTTGGCCAAACTTCCTGATCAACGCGACGACTCCAGCGACTCAGTCACTTGCTCGCCTTGCTCGGTGTTGCACTACAACCTCCAGACTGGTCCACATTCGTGACACTCCCTTGCTCACAGGTTCACTGGATTGCTTGATCATGCAGTGCACTCACTCACTGCACTTGATCATGGCATTCTGTATGTCCACCTCTTCGCTTCATTACTCACATCGATGACCCACTCACGCACGGACGGGTTCACCAGTGCAGTCACTCATCCCGCACTCCTTCCTCAGTCCATCCACACTGGTCCTGCCTCTGACCAGTCTACTTGCTTCCAAACTAAACCTCCTTTCTCATTGAGCTCCCTTTTTGATCAGTACGTTGGCTTCTCTACTCCGTGAAGCACTCATGCTGAGCCCTTCCCCTCCCTCATCTTGCTGCACAACTGCTGCTTTGGGCGTGGACTTCCACATCGCAGGTTCACTGTTAGACGCTCCGGACGCGTTCTATTCCAGCTGTTTGTGCTGCGATTGGCATGGCGATTCGCAGCCCGTGCCCTTGCAGGCTCTGCTACAGGAAGCTCAACAGCGACAAAGGCGCTTGGAGGCCACTGTGCGGACTCGTTCAAATCTCAGACTTCACTAGTATCCTTGTGGTGAGGCGAGACTGAGCACACCCAGTCCGTACAGCCCGCCGAACAGCCGGGCACTCGACAGTTCAGAAAAGCGAGAGGTCAGTGCTTGACATGTCAAGGTGTTTGAGAGCAGCACGGCATCTGCAAGATCATGAGCTAGGCAGAATTGGGGCAACATGCAACTGACGAAGAGTCAGTTGCAATCGCTCCTCCTTCGCATTCCCATTTCAACTCCTACCTCCCTGAGCCAGCGGTCTTTGCTGGACTTCGTTACGGCATGCATTGCGAGACTGAGCACGACATGTTACGTTGTGGATACGTATGGATGTACGATATCTGCCGAAAGATTGTTCAAACATATGCAAGCACCCCATAGCAGTCAAAATATCGAATGGCATGAATGGCGAAATTCGGGAGGAGTAAAAACTATTTTGGGCATTTTCTGTTTCTTTGTGCATGCAATGGGCGTGGGGTATTCACCATATCCATAGAAAATAGGAAGGTGTGATTTCGAAAAGGCTGGAAAATAGATAGATTGATTTGATTTTTCATTCTCGATAGTGCGGTTGGATTTTTTATAAATACTATCTATTTATATGATATGAAGATAGAAGATCAAATTGATGGAATTTGAGAAGGATTTGAGTGGTCGGAATTTTGGTCGAAATAGAATTTATTATGGATATTGCATAATTATATTATTTATGAATTATATATAATATGAAGGATTTTTATATGAAAATTTGTTTTATTTGCAAAGCTTAGAGATTATTATATTATAAGGGCGCGTGTTTTCGAGGAATTTTGGATTTATATTTGATTTTGAATTCATGGATTATTATTCTGGAAGAATCTTCATAAGTAGATATTCGGAATTTTTTCAATAAATTGATATTCTAGTGGTAGATGAAAATATTCAGATTAGGAGGAGTTGAATAGGTTAAATGAATTAAGAAGATTATTGATATTAATATTAGGATATGAATTTGGATTGGTATTTAGTTTGGATATTAGTTATGATAATATAATTTGATTTTAATAAAATTTCGAGTAGATATTGATATATAAAATAAATAAATCGAAATTGGATAGGTATCGATTTAGAATATGAAATTAATTTGGTATATAGCGAAAGATTAGAAATATTTTTTAAAATATATTATTTTATAATAATAATAATAAATTGAATTTACGTATATATTGATTCGTAATAATGAATTGAAGTCGGATGCTTATCGATCTAGTATAATAATAATACTTTTGATTTGATTGGTTATTGGTTCGGTATATTTTTCTATTTGAATTTTTGGTTTTAATTAAAAAAAATATTTTTTAGTTAGTATGGTTGTAGAATATTGAGTATACATAGGCGATCGGTTGAGAAATTATGAATAAAGATATTGATATGTAGAGGATTAGGCCAAATATTTTTCTGGAATTGGGGATGGCTTGGGTATTATATAATCTTATTAAGAGCTATCCGTGGCATACGCTTATTTCAGCAATTTAAATATTATATATATTATTTCATATATAGATTTATTTTATGAATTGTTTTAAAGGATTTGATTATTAAGCCTTAATTGTATAATTTGGGATTTCTGCAAGTATATTATCTTTAGGATTCAATTGAATCTTACCATATATTATATTATTTGATTACTTCTGTCTTTGTTGTTTCTCATTGATAAGAAGGCATTGACTTTCGAATATTTCTTGAAATATATAGAAGGCCTATAATGAATCGTATGCTTATATATAGATTATTGGAAAGATATTTAAGCATGTGCGAAATTATTAATATTTTAATTTAATTATGTGCCAAGTTATTAGTGCCTTGAGGTTTATAAAAATTTTGAAGATCTAAGCAATATTCACAAGGTTTGGGTTTTCTAGCCATCATTTTTTTCGAAGAGGCTTATGAGTCTATATTTTTGTAGGTTCGAGGATGGCTTGGATATACGGTCTTATTAAAAGCTTTTCGTGATATCTATTTATTTCAGCAATTTGAATATCATATTCATCATCTTAATCTGATATCTTAAATATAGTTATATAAGCTAATTACCTCAACCTCTTCTATATAGAATATCGAAAAATATGCGCCGCCAGGGCGTATCATTCTGAAATATTGATAATTTATATTTATTTCATTCTATTAGTTGTATTTGATATTCTTTTTTGAGGTCGTGATTTGGGATTATTGATCAGTATTTATTTTTATGAAAATAAAAATATTCGATATGATTTTTTTTGAATACTATTTCGAAGAAAATAAATTATATAATTCGTCTTCGCTTATCGAGGGCGTATATGATGGCGATAATAACCTGATTTTATATATATATATATAGATTTCTTTAAATAAAATCTTTATATATATATATATAGATTTCTTTAAATAAAATCTCTATATATATATTTGCTTAGGTCGTAGCCAATGATGCGTGCTATTAAATATAATAGATTTCTTTTTTATTTAAAAAGCTATGAGATATATATATATCTATAGAAAAAATTTTCTGCAAGAGTATACGGGTGAAGGTTTATTATATATGGATACGACCGGGACCAATTTCGCAAGATCATGAAGTCGTATTCGAATAAATCTATTTCTATTTTCTAGATTTAATACGGATATTTTTTTTATAAAAATCAAACAAAAGTCGCATCCGATTCAATTCTTAGAGTCTTCTAGAATACAAGATGGATGCGATCGTAGGTAATTATAATAATAAATAAGAAGTCAAGATTAGATTCGGTCGCGCCCATATAGGCATTCTATAGTAAATCATGGGTATGACCAGGTGCGACCTCGAAAAATCGAATTCGTTCATGGTCAGCTCCACATACGCCTTCTAGAATAAAATATATTCGATATCATAATAAAAATATATATCTGTTTTGTTATCTATATATATCGTCTCCAAAAGATCATAGAATACGATTTCATAAAATATGAGGTCGTCCCCGATTGCACCGCCTTTCCTTCTAGAACTTGCATAAATTCGAATGTATGATAAAAGAAGATATATTCTATATCAATAATGAAAATGATGATCAATAGGATTAAATACATTCTCGCAAGAAATGAAATCAGAAAATCAGAATATACCTAGCATATGTTCAAATATAATTATATTAGGATTATTAAGAATATCAAGAATAATAAAAATATCAGAAAGAAAATTAAAATTCGATAGTTCGCCGAAAAATTTCTGAAAAACTTTATAACTATATATTAAAGATATTAAAAATTCTTATTTTGGAATATGACTAATCATATTTCAATATCTATATTTAGAGAATCTAATTTATTCTAAATTTGAAATATAGCTATCAATTCATATATTTTTATATTCCAAAAAATACCTAAAATTCTATCTTCTATATATTTTTCTTAGAAATTCAGTTATCCAGACCCAAACCGAGG